CTTCGTTCCATAAATAAAAACCCAACCCCGAAAAAAATAAAATACCAAATAGTTTGATACTCGCCAAATCGTAACCATGCCTCAGTTAAAGCCTAAAAGACGATGTAACACAAGAATTCTGGTCTTCTAGCGACAGACTCGCCGTTTCCACCCCTAACAATAGTATATATTGACAAATTTTATTATAAATGCAAAAAGCTTATACAGTCATATTCCTCTAAATGCAATGCAAATTTTATTATAAACCCATAAGCCTTCATGGTTATACTCCTCTAAATGCAAATTCGTAAGATGCAATTTTATTATAAGTTTTCATCATACAACCATGTTTTAAATACATGTTCTCAAGTTGTAAAATTATTATAAACCCATAAGCTTTTACAATCATACTCCTCAAAATGTAAATTCAAATTTTATTATAAATCTCTATAAGCTTTAACAGCCATAAATCTCAACTCCTATAAATTTTATATGGACCAAAAAAAACTAATTTTTCAAATGCATTAACTAATTATTTGAGGAATCAATATATGATCATACTTCTCTATATGCACATTCCCCATCTCACTTGGCCCTGGCTAATATAACTTTTATTGACCTGACTTTCTAAAATAAATGTTTTAGATTTTCATTTGGCCCTCCGTGGTATTATACTTAAGGAGGCTTGATCGTATTGACTGTATTGACAATATTTAACAAGAAAGTCAAAAATTGGTATATTAATATTAATTGGCAAACAATTGAATTTCAAATTAGTAAATCCACCCTCTAAAGCAAATATTTCATTGAGCAAATAATGCTTCAATAAATCTACAATTAGTGATTAATAATACTGGGACGGATCAAAAATTTAGTAGATAGTAAAATTTTGCTACTAATAAAAATTTTTAAGAATCTAATTAATTTTCGCCAAATTTTTGTAAAACATAGATTGTACCTTCTATTTTTAGTAGTAAAATTTTTAAAAGCTATATTATTTTAAAAAATATACTTCCCTATATAGCTAAATTTGCTCAAATTTGCCAGGGTTACACAAAAAAAGAATAGTAAAAATATTTCTAAAACAGGTAATTACCCAATTAGGGTTGTGTTTACTATGTTACGCAAAAAAGATTTCTATATATATTATATAATAAATGATCTACGTATCCTCTACCTTTAAATCAAGAAGTAATATAAATTTGTCGTTAACGCAAGTTACTCAAAGCTTACAGAAAAGTTATCACGTTGCTTGAAGAAAGTCGCATGGAGGTCAATAGAAAGTGTAACAGTTTATAGAATTCTGTAAGTTTAAAAGTCTGTATATTTCAGTGCTCTGGTGCTCTCTGAAATAACTTGGCAACTACTGATCTTTGCTATATCTCTGATCCGGATATTATAATTAAATCCGGATATCATGGCTAAATCCGGATGTTATGGTTAAACCCAGATATCGATATAATAATAATCATTTTAAGGGGTTAAATCCGGATTCAGGTATTAATATTAACACTAGTAGAACCATTCACTCATAAGATTAATGGTTAGTTATCAGACACATCTCACAGATGCATATATATCCACCCAAGTGACAACAATAGTCATCTTGACAAAGCATACTCCAATTCTGACTAAGTAATCATAATATCAACTTTGGACGTGATCACCAGTCAATCCAAAAAGAAAAACAAAAAACAAAAACAAAAAGGGTAATTCCCATAACAAGAGTAAAATGAAAATGGCAGAATTCACTTCTTTGGAACCTGCCATTTTCATAATTATAACTACTGAATATCAATATCACATCACATGTTCATATTAATGGGCGGCCTGCATTACGCAGGCAGGAAACCACCAGTCAGCGCTAAGCCACACAAACTCAACTACTTACAGTGATCTCCCGGCGCAATATTATTTGCTATTTCTGGGAGCTATCCCGTTTCAGTTTCAATATTTCAATAATACATAATTCGCAACTAATATAATCTGCATCCATCAAATAAAATTTAACTCCGGTATATCAGACCGGACTATTCCAATTATAAGAAACATGTGTGCGTCTTAGTGAAAGCCCGGTATGTTGTCGATTATCAGATAAATAATCAAAAAAAACGAATGTTCCCTTTTTACTTGTTTTCACTCATATGGTCTTTTATTGAATGAATAATCCGACAAGGAAATTAGAAAGTTTATTCTTAAGCATCGATGTAAGCATCTATGCAAGCATCGATGTATTTGACAGTCTCACACAGTGCACAAATACAGAAATCGCATGACAAATCATGAATAACGATCTCCCATTCAAGTGCTAGGGATTGTTCACATCACTTTACTTGCTAGTAAACCATACACTTCGTTATCCCTTAATCCATATGTAAATTCGGGGCAAATTTGCCCCGAATTTTGTAAAGTAATTTTTTATTCTACTTAAATTATAATAAATACTATAAATTGGTTATAAATCAAATAAAAAAACAAATATTTAATAAATTTATTTACTTTTTACTATAAAATCTTTAAAACAATTTGACCTTACTTTAGAGCAATAAAGAGATTTAAGGCAAATATAGGTATTATGGCGCAGTTAAGTATTTAGCTATTAGTATATGATATATCAGTCCGAATCGAATGATTTTGGTACCATTTGATTCGTCTTGATGAGACGAATCTAACGATATCAAAATCATTTAATTCCAATCACTGTATCATAAGTTAAAATTAATTAAAAATACAAATTAAAAAAGATAAAGTATAACGCAGGTATAAGTTATGGTGCACATACTATTTTTCATGATCTATTGAGATCTATTGATCAGAATCGAACGATTTTGACACCATTCGATTTGTCTCATTGAGACGAATCGAATGGTATTCAAATCAAGTGATCTTGACCAATACATCTTGATATTACTAATATATCATAATTTAACCAAAATAAGCTGCGCAAAGTAATTTTAAAATTGACATAAAATAATGAATAACTTTTGATATAACAGTCCATTTTTGATAATTTTACCATTAAAATGACCGCCTTGAAGAGGTGATTTCAACAAGCCCAAACTCACTAAAATCCAATCACGGGATCACGAGAATGCTAAGGTTTTTATATTGTTTTTAAACTAATCTATTTTAAAGAATAATTTTTAAACATTTATTAAACCTTACTGTTATTTTTTGCAGCAAATATATATCAACTCAAGTGTTACAATGTTGTATGCGTACATGATGATACAAGCAATAGGGAGGACTATTATTAATAAAATTTGGAAGTAGTACGGAAAATTTGCCGGGAATCAGAAATTCGGGGCAAATTTGCCCCGAATACGGGGATAAGTACATCCCTAAAATTTTGGGGTGTGAACAGAATCCGCCGCGACGAAATTGCCAAGGATCTTAATGCAAAGTAAAAGTCTAAATAACATCAGATAAAATCGACTGAGTTACGTCTTCTTTGAAGTTATTGTTATAGAAAAAATCAAAATTTAAAATTTGCTAAGTTTTATAATTAGCAATTTATTTATTTTATTGATGTGTGTAGTAGAGTATTTTACATCACAATAAAAATATTGATTTTTTTTATATATATTAATAAGTATATATAAAATTTTTTGGTTATATAATCAAGACTCGATTTAACTATCGTATTTTCTTGAAATAATGGGCATAGGTGTTAATCTAAGCAATGTTTTCAAATTTGATAACATTTCATCAGTTTTGGGAGGTTTAATAGTGCATACTTATGCGCATAAGGCCATACAAAATTAATTTTAATTTTGTATACTGGTCAACCTTTTTATAAATTAAAAATTTTTATCAAAATTTGAATTACTCTAGAAGTATTGGAGATAAATTCACCTGTGTAAGTACAAGTTTTGTCTTAATTATAAAATTTAAAACTCATCGTGCTTGAATAGAGTTCGAAATCAATTTTTGCGAAAAGTTCTTTTCATAACACAACATTTTATTAAATAAGTTTTTTTTTTAACTTTAAAATTCTGGCATGTTTATTATTTATCTTTATTCAACTGCAATTTATGAAAGTGCAAGATAATATCTCTAATTTTTATTAGTAAAATGTCTATGAAGGCTGACCCTGTTGAACCGGCAAACCCAATACAAGCCAACCGGTTAAATAGATAAGACTGGGTCGGTTCACCGATTGGTATTTTTTTATAGTTAGTTAAAGTAAAATTTTTAATGAATATCGATATAGACAGATATTCATTGATTAAAAAAATTTATATGAATGTCCGAATTTTCATTTTTGACACTCAGACTTTTAACCCATTAATTATTATTTTATTCATAATTAAGAAATACAAAGCGCTTTTACAATAAATTTAAATTTATACATTGTAGGATTTCCAAATAATAGTTAAATATACAATCAATGAGTGTCTAATAAATATAAACAATCATTATAATAATACGTAATAAACAATCGTTTATAAATAAATGCGAAAAATATAACCTAACACCCGACAAAACCGACCAAATTTAGTTATTTATATTGTAAAATGATGTTGTAATTTACACATTAATCGTCATCATTATAATTTTGATAAGTCTCTCTTATAATAAAGTAAGCTGCATCACAATCGGTCCAGTAATTAAGATGATCTGTTATAGCGGATATGTAACCAACGTCCAATATCCCTTGCTGTTTGATAAAATAATAATCATTAATCAGGTTAGAATTTCATTAAAAAAAAATAATCAATATATAAATTTTAACATGGTTAAAGATAATAACCTGTAAACAATAATCGATTCTTCCACTTTTGTTTAAACTTTTCAACTTTTCTTCACCACTAATTTGATGATCTATTTTCCCATCTTCGTTCAATGTTGGTGAACTTGGCGTCTTCACTTGATAGAATTGTTCCTTCTTTTCATTTGTTGTTGGTGATAGCTCAACTTGAGACATATAAAATTTTTCCCTTGCTTCGACTGACAGCCCTCTAGGACTTTCCTTACCGTAAACAGCAAAATTACTATCTATACTATATCTACGAACTGATGTCTCATCACTAATATAGCTTGCATCAATAGAATTTCTTGTTCCCGTATCTATACTAGTTCGACCATCACTACTAACACTTACTAAACTGCTACGACTAGAATTTCTTGTATCACCACCACTTATTAAACTTACAGTAGATCCTGCCTCCGAATATATCTTTTTCAATTGCTGTCGTTTAAGCAATTCACGCTCTATAAAATGTTTCTCTCTAGTTTGCTTATTATTCTTACGTTTGTTCGCTGATTCATCCAGAGGTTTTGATAAGCTTAGAGATCTAAGTATGTTTGTCGTTGTTTTCGAGATGTTTGAACCAAATTCTTGAAATCCTAATTGTACAGCTTTAAGTCCACCTTTGTGATATGGGATTAAAGCAGGCTTTAGGATTGTGCCATAGTGACGTGATACTAGAGGTTCTGTTTTCATTGAGATATAAACGAAGTGTATGTTATTTTTAAAGTGTATTTCATACGTAGGATATGTAATTTCGATTTTTATGTTTAAAAATACAAATTATTAAAAGAAAAATCTTAATCTGTATACTATATAAATTAAAATGTATGTACGCTTCTTACCTATTCGAAATGCAATTGGATCTAATAACACAAAAAATTAATAATAAGCTCATGATCACAAAAGATACAAATTAAAAAAATAAAGTTTTTTTACCAGCTTTATGAAAGACATTATAAAGGCTTCTACAAGCTGGATAACAGAGTGGTATCAAAGTTACAGATTCTTGCATCAACATCATAATATTTTCTGTATCCCTATCCCTAATTGAACGATCTTTATGTATCATTTTCGTATTCTGTTCTTGTTCATCGTTAAGCTCTTTCTTATCATCATTTCCTTTATTTTCCATCTTTTTATCATCATTTCCTTTATTTTCCATCTTTTCACCATCATTTATCTGTTCATCACCATTTCGCACATCATCACCATCATTACCCAAACTAATATCTGACCAATTTTTTAATTGATAAACCTTTCTAATGGCATCATAATACTCTCTACTTGCAATCTTTAGTCCTTTCAGCAGTAGAAATAATCCAATTGGTGAACCAACTGCGTACAAATTCTCAACCTCGAAATCCAACTTTATATTTAGTTGTTTTTGCTTTTTTCTGTACATCTGTCGATCTATATAACCATTATTATGATAATGATGATGATCATCATGATCAGTTTCTTCATTATGATATAAAGTTGAAGGCGTAGATGTATGTTTCGAATTCAAGTCTTCAGAGGACTTTGTAACATTCTCACTGTGATCAAATCTTTCTTGTGATTCGTTAATTTTTGAATCTTGTGAATGATAATAAGGATTAGAAATATCACTTAGGGACACAGAAGCTAAATCTTCCTCATATTCTTCGCCAAATGGTCCAACAATTGGTGGCTGATGGCATAAAACATCGAAAGCTAATAACGAGCCAAGAGAATGACCATAAATAGAAATCTTGCCGCCAATTTTTAAAAAATTGGGATTACGATCTACAAATAAGTTAAAGACTCGATTCATCTCATTTGTCACAGTAGTTAACATCATTTTTCTAAATTTTGGTGTCATGTATAATAATACTAAATAATATCAACAAGAATTACAAGGTAAATAAATTCGAAATTTATAAATAAAAACACAACATTCAAAAAATTTTAAATAATCTAATTTACCATCTACTAATGCATCAGAAATTAACAATCTTAAATTCGGAACACTATCTAAGGTGATTTCATCTATAGTAGGTTGACCTTCTTCACTAATGGCCAGACTTAAGTCTCGTTGAATTTGTTCATCTTCCGATGCAATTCCAAACTTTATTGCATAAAATAAAACATTTAGAATTTTAATTTCTATATGTTTTTTCATAGTAAGATAATGGATTTCATTATTACCTTAATATCCTGCCTCCAATGAATTGGTATAACTTGTATACCATTACCATATTGACTTCCTTTCTTAGAATAACGCAGGCCGTATTCTGGATATTTATCGCGATCTTCTAATCTTACAATTGCTTCTGGTGGTGGGTTTGTCGCATATATTTTTTTCAAAGTTCGTCTAAATTTATTTATCTCTGAAATTTTTTTGTGATATATCAAGTAATTCCAAAAGGTTAGTTAGTTAGTTAGTGTCTTAATTAGTTACATGCAGATGTGATTATTGTTGACGTACCATTAATAAAAGAAGCCGAACCATCCCTTTCGCTCAATTTTTGTCCAATACTATATATTTTATAGACAAAATTAATTAAAAATTTTATGAAATTGTTAGTAAAAAAGTTAATTAAATTTTGACATTATAGATATCAAATAATCAAAGTTAGAAATCCAAAATTTGACATCTATATACAGTAGTACTTTAACTCGTGCACATCAAAGCGCCCTACTCACCCATGAATACAAAAAATTAAATGATCAATAACCCTTTCATCATCTTCTTCTGATTCCACATATTCATCAATCTGATTATTTTCTTGATCTTTCAATCCTTTTCCATCGGTGCTTTCTTTTCCATTTTTCGCATTTGATTTTTCTTTTTTATTTTCAGATTCGGTAGTTTTTTTATTTGATACATATTTTTCAACCTCAGGATATCCCCTTAAGAGACGTATCCCACCCAAATGTTCACCTTTTGTAAATTTTGAAAATATAGTTTTTGTAAATTTTCCGGTCAAGTCATCACTAAATTAATAAAGTATTTTTTGATTAGAAATAAAAAGTCAAAATATATGAAAATAAGTTAAGAAATATATACATGCATTATCAGCCAAGCAACAGTAGGACTAGTATATACGATATATTGACCTTTATATTTATCAATTAGATACCAACTTCTTTCATTTGAAGATCCGCTAGCTTCATTATTTGAATTAGAAGCAGAAGCAGAAACAGGAAGCCAAGCCTTATGTTCTCTTTACAAAATATTAAACCATTAAAATAAAAAATAAATAATAATACATATTTAAAAAAGATAAAACTTATTATATTAAAAATTATAAAATAATAAAATTATAATTAAACACACACATGTAACCATCTTCAATCTGGTTAGATAAATATTCATCGCATGGAATATAATTGTTACCATCACCTTGATAAAACCATGTAGCTCTTACTACTTGGTATATCGCATCGACCCAGTAAATCTATATTCATAATGAATAATAGATTTCATTTAATACATAAGCAACATATAACTTATTATATTTTTCACACTTAGCATACATGCAAGCATTATAAATCACACTTTTACATGCCGCAGAATCAAAACTAAATTTAAATTAACTATCTAAATAATTAATCAATTAGAGTTTCTACCGGTAAGGAAGGTAGAAATTCTAATTGATAATAATAATTAATTTAACGTATAAAAAATTAATTTCTACGGCATGTTTCATCACTAATCAGATCATAATAAAAATTTAAACATACCGGACTAATTTCTCGATTATCTAAATCAACTTCAAATAAATAATCTTCATTACAACAAACTTTTTTTCCAGGTATACCAAGTTTAAAAGCCGTTTCTAATGCGTTTGAATCACGTTTGGAAAATGGAATCCATTTCATAGGAGACTTTTCCTCAACAGGGGGGGACGTTCTTGAATTATTTGTTTTTGGAGTTTTTAATGGATCCCATGATGGTATGTCCACAGCATGGAACCTACAAATTGTTAAGTTAAATTGGAGTAGTAAAAGATATCTATGTATATCAAAATTAAAGTAAAAATAGATTCTTACCAACGAACAGGTAATGGAGGATAATCCAGATTATCTAGCACCATTTAATTGTATCAACAAAAAAAAAGAATTCAGACTGTTTAACTATTGTTTATCATTATAAATTTAGTATATCGTACGTACGTAACATCTGACCAATCACATGACCCACACTTTTAATTTTTGGTAAACAGGCTAAACAGGCGAGTTCAAAGTAGTACAAACATTTGATAGCCACTTTTCTACTGTATGTGTGCTAGCGCTACTAACCAATTCCTCATATTTAGACTTTCACATGCTATTTAACATTAATGTGCAATGTGGGATGATGTAAATTTTTGTTGATTAAAAAATGCTTCTAAATCACATGCCGATATGTAGTTATTACAAATTTTGTTCTATTAACGTGTTAAAAAAATTCAGTTATTTAGTCAGACAATTTGTGTCATACATATAATACGATTAAACCCAAATTTAAATCAGCCAAAAAACGTGGCTTAGTGTAAAAAATAAATAACCTAAATTGTAATATTGACTCGGATATCTACTAAATAAATTTTAACCAGTTAATTAGCTAATTTACTCGGTACAACTGATTTTATCAAAGATGTCTGTGTTTTTGAAGATAAAAAATAGTATTTTTTTTGCTAATGAGCTCTAATGAATTTTGTAATACAAGTTACGGCTACTGGTACGTTCATCTTGTAAAATACAGTTATATAAAAATATGCAATATTGGTTGACTCATGATCGTAATTTGCCGTAACTATTGTAAGTAACGGTAATATCTGATACGGCTATAATGCCGTAACTTACTTACTATCATCGGGACGATTCTACTGCATCACTATTCATGATAATCCGAATTCTGCAGTAAAACATCTATGTATGTATGTACAGGACGTACGTACGTACGTACTAGGATTTATACGTATCCGAATTTTGATTATCCGGTCAAAAATTCGGATGACCATGATATATCTGTATTAGAGATTTGCCTCGCGCGAAGTAAAACTAGTATACATTCCACAAATCATATAACTTCGTGCGAAGAGCGATATGGCATCATCCAAGGCGAATTCTGAGTTCGATGGATTCATTGGCTTTAATATAAATTATCACAAATCACTGACTACTGAGTTTTTTGATTAAAAGAATTATTTCGCGCGAGGTATGATGTAGTAATTTGCGCGAGGATGACGTCATTATATTTTGCGAGATACATCTATTGATTCTAATACATGGACTGAATTTTTTATCTTACTACACAACTAGAATATGTTATTTTTCCAATTATTATTGTGAGGGACGGTTTAAACTAATATTATGCTGTATTTTTATAAGTCCTTTAGACATATTTTATATTACACTAATTATACATGCAAAATCAATTTAATATTTTCTAGCATTTAAAATTTTTTATATTGTATAATTAGTTTTTGTGTTTATAAATAGTCATTTAATTAAAAGCTTTTATTGGAAATGTTTACAAAATAGTAAAGCTTTTATTATATTAGAAATGTTTCATTCTTCTATTTCGAATAGGTAATAATAGTCTTATTCAATAGCATATAAAATGATGTCAATTTACCTTTATCATCTTTACACAGTCTTAAATAGTGATGCCGGCTAAACGTTTTAACATCACTATGTTTTGGGGTTTATCACGCGATAAATCTGATTTTAACATATATCGTAGTTAAAATTGTTGAAATGAAAAAGATATAACTAGATTATAGTTGTTAGACGAAACCTCGAGGTTTCGCGCTGACGAAACGCGAAACCTAATTTCGTCTTTCGTCAATTAAAATCTTAAATGACGAAACTGTAAAGGGTAAAAATACATAATAGGCGCTTGAATTGTTTAAAGGGAGTTAGAAATGAGTATTTTATATACTAGTACACTACATATCAGTTATAGTGAGAAATCGCTTGGTGTTTACTTTGTGATCTTACAAATTTATTTTATGCTAGTATGTTTTAATTTGCTTTATCACAAAATCCCGAAAGACAGATTCCCGAAAGGACCTAATATCGACAAAGTTAGCCGGCATTAGTTATAATGTTGGCCAATTTAGTCGGTATTATGTTCTTTGGGGAAAGGGGGGTACCCATTTAAACCCTCTGACCATAACCTACTTCCAAACCAATGGATACTACCTAACCTGAGGCGTAGCT